GCCCAAGGCCCATTTCTAAAATTTCAACCGCCTTCATTTTTTTTATTCTTTTAATGTCCAGTTTGCCCTTACAATTTTAACTAACTCCCCACTTTTGAGTTTAATCTTCGTAAAATTTTCATATCAAAATTAACTTTTTTAATTAAATATTCAAATTATATATCTTGTATTTATTTTTAAATATTTATTTATGCATTTTATAAGTCAAGCTGATAAAATATTATATTTATTTTTTGAAAAAAACTAAAAAACGAGAACAAGAAACCGAAATTTGATGTTATTGTTTCTAAAATTTCTACTCAATTTTGGAGACGTTTCTTATAAATGAGAAGTAATAAACCAGAACACTTACCAAATGCTTATATTTCTAAAACATTGGAAATAGAAAAAAAAAATAGTAACGTTATGAAATGAGCCATAAGTAATTAAAAAGAATTAAAACAAGCAGACTAAAATACTATTTTATGAACTTTCTACCTCGAATCTCATTAAGGTTTAAACAAGGATTATTTTATTTATTTATTTATGTATGTTGATATATTATTTCAAAACCAAATATATGTTTTTAAACTAAATGGAAACTAAATCTTTATACACTAAATATCAACACTCCAAGTTCAATGATATTTTTCTCAATAGCAACTAAACCGCTTAAAAATTTTAAATTACATATATTAAATTGCTACTCTATATATTTTCTTTAAATTCTAGATTTTTATTGGGAGTTACCACTCACACAATAGAATATTATATTCTAAAAAGAAAAAAGAAAAAAGGAACACAGGGGTCTCTATTGAGTCAATGGGGAAAAACAAGAAGAAACATGTGATGGGCAAGATAGTAATTTAGGGAAGATACCAAAAATTTGTCTTTTTTTAATATAATATAAAGAAAAAAAATAGGAGTCAAATGGGCCAAAAGATCCAAAGAGAGAGGGGGGTTTGACTTGAGTAAGCCCAGGCCCAAAAGTAAAAGCATTCACGTATCCCCATCACTGCCACTCACGGATCCTGGTCGGCTAATAACAACCGCACGATCACTCTCTTCACCATTGAGATCAACGGCTCACGTTCTATCTCCCTATACCGTATCTGATTAGTCAAACCCCTCACTCCAATTTCAATTTCTCCCCACTTCTTCGTTTCTCGAAAAAAATAAATAATAAAAAACTCCGCTATGTTGGTCTTTATAATTTCGATTTTAATTTATTCTAGCCTTTACTTCTGGAAGTGATTTTTTTTCTCTTTATTTTCATTTTTTTTATCATCTATTTATTTCAATTATAATTTTGGCATCACAATAATGAATTTTTTTAAATGTAATCGTAAATTTGTATTAAATAATTTATTTTGTATTGATTAAGTTTCTATTAGATCCACGAGTTTAAAAAATCACCATTTTTTATTCTTGATATTTAAATTTAGTTTCAATTTAATCGTTAAAATTTCTAAAATGACATGTTTAATCTTTCAAGTTTGAATTTAATTTTTAATAAGTTCCTAGAATTTTTTAAATTCAACCGAGATCAAACAAAAATCAAGTCCAAACAAAAAAAAAAAGAAATTACAAATGTGAATCAACTTTTTAAGGGTAGGAGGGTTGAAATAGTATTTAAATTGATTTTTAATTAGGAATTAAATATGGTTTATTTTGGGGGGTCGTACTTAAAGTCTTTTGTGCCCACGCAGTCAACAAATGGAAAAAAGATCCGCTTTAATTAATTAATTAATTTATTTATTTATTAATGGGAAGGACGGGAGGGGCAGAGTTGGAATTTCACGTGTGAAGGCGGGAAGCTTTTTTTTTTTTGTTTATTTATTTATTTTTAAAATGGGGTGAAAAGAAAAAAAAAAGAAAAAGAAAGGGAAATTCTGCTAAGTCAAAGTGTTGGTTGGTTGCGGGGGATTTGGCCAGAAAGCAAAAGGACAAAATAGGCATTTAAACTCACGCGACTCGTGTGAAGGTGAAACCGCTACCCCATTCCGAATTCTCCCACCAAATACAAAAATATTATAAATTCTATCATTTCAAATCTTTTTAAATTTAAATATTGTATATCGTCAAAAAAAAAACAATAATAAATAATAATTTTAAATATTATTTTAATCTCCCTATTTCCAATTTTATTTTAGTTAATGGAATCTCAAACGTCTATTTTGATTATGTACCGTTAAAATGTTACTATTTTTTGTTGGTACTCTATTTTTCATTTTTATCTTATTTCTTGCCACTATAATTTTAACATAACACTTCACATTAATTGATTTTCATTGCATATAAATTTTGCAAATCAGGCATTTTAAAAAAGATGTTAAAACTTTCATGGAAGTAATAATTTTGGACATGAACTTTAATTTGTAACAATTTGCTTCTTAGACTTTCAATTTTGTAACGATGTAGTTCTTGAACTTTAGTATGTAATAATTTAGTGTGATAAATGTTATTATAATTTAATCAGATTTTTATACATATTTAAATAACAATTATGAATAATTCTCTTTATGAATTACAAGGACTACATTTTTACCTGCTAAAGCTCAAGGATTGAATATTTATAAATTTGATAATACATTTGCTAAATTATTACAAACCTAAAAGTTCACTAACTAAATTGTCACTTTCGTGAAATTTAAGGGACTAACAATATTTTTTTAACCAACTTTTTAATGGTCCATGAACTTTCAGGGGTTTTTTTTTTAATAAGCTTCTTAAAAAGTTCTAATAATTATTGTAACTTTTAAATTTTGTGCTTAACAAGCTTTTGTTCTAATTATATATATTAGTTTAATACTAATGGTATGAAACACTTTAACTTGCATTAAATTAGTCTACTACATAATTCTTTAATAATACAACAATTAATGTGTCGCATAAGGTAAGTATTAAAATTGATAATAGCAACCGATAGGAACCTATTTGATATATAATTGAAAGTTTAGGAAATTCATAAAAAAAATAGGATTAAAACAGCGTAACCTTAAAAGTTACTACATTGTAATTCAAAGGAAAGAGCTTAGCCATGCTCATATGGCTGATTATTACTTATTTATTCACATTTTTATATAATGATAAAACCTTAGAAACTATATATTTGTTTATTAAAATTATTGATAAAACATTTGGAGGGAAGAAATATTTTGATTTTTATATTAATTTAAGTTTTCAAGTTAAATATCTAGTTTTTTTTAGTACAACAGGTGGGTATTGAACTCGCACCCTTTTGGTTGGAATTATATACCATTTACAACTACGCTGTACTCACTTTGACAAATATCTAGTTAAATAGTAATAAAAGATTCACACGACATCTGAATAAAATTGATATTATAAGACCCCTTGAGAGCATGCAAACTAATATATATTTATTTTATTTGTGGATTCTAGGGGGTATTATAAATGAAGATTAATAGTCAAATCGAGAATAGCTCAAATGGTTAAGACATCTATCTCTGACTAAAAGATCATGAGTTCGAATCCACA